AGGTATCGATACATTTTACTTCTGCACGTCTTTTCGGCAGGTCTTTCATGATGACGCTTAAATATTCCTCAGGCACCACAATTTCGACTCGCATTACAGGTTCTAGAAGTGTAACTCCAACATCCTTCATCAACTGAAATACATATAGAGAACGATAAGTAAATAGGAAAGAGCTTTTAAAAAAGTAAGGGTCGTGAGTAATTTAACAGTTTCAGAGGAAGATTTAGAAAGATTTTAAAGCATTTCAAGCCATTCAAGGAGGAATTTAAGAGCTCTAAGTAATATAAAGGAAATGTTCAAGAGATGTACTTAAATTATTTCAAGCATCTGAGAGTCTTTGACAAATCAGAAATTGTTAAGCAATCAAAAAATCTAGAACTCAGATTGTAAACGTTAAAGATGTTGCAAAACATTTTCTAGGGGATCTGGTTATTTTTAGTCGGAATTATTTTTATAGATTACTTATACATTACTTATATTTATAAATATTTTATAAGTCACTTATCTCAGTATATGTAGCTACATTCCAATATAGTTACAGTATAGTTTCCAATACATCAATACATCAATATAATTAAATTCCAAATAAGTAAAAATAACAGTGACTTAATTAAGCTTCGCTACAGAAAATATTTCGTATTTTTTCAATGAATTATTCTTCCAATAAAAGATATTGTTTATTCTATTGCTCCCTCTTTTTAAACTATCCTTATCAAATTTAATACCATATTTTTTCACTTGGCCAGAAAATCCTTGTTTCTATCGTTAATGCAATCATTATTTCTATTGTCAACGCTAGAAATATCTCAAACGATTGTTCTCTTTATCAACTGCGTCAGCTTAAAAAAAAAAAAAAACATAATTCCAAATGAACAGCCATTATATTGAAATACGCTGCAAGAAAACAAACGAACGGAAAGATGTAAATCCTAAAGTAACAAAGTCACATAAATACTTCACATTTTCGTGAAATAATTTCGTAATTTCATGGTTGATGGATATGTGTCTCTCTTGTATAGTATCAGTGACAAACCCTTAGAGTATTGGAGCAAGCAGCAATCTCAATCGGGTCGTATTCGTAAAATCTTAGATTCAGATTTATTAGAAAATGTAGGTTACGTTCAATGAACATCATTCAGATTTATTTAGTTGAGCATTGAATTTTAAGTTAATTTTATGGTAAATGATGCACAGGTTATCGAGATACAGGACTTCGAACAACCCCATGGATATGGCACCTCCATCATTTGTCCCTCTGATTCCTCCCAATTCCTCAATATCGAATTACCAGTTTTAGTTGTGGTTATAAAGAACCTAAATCTCCATTGTCGTCTGCAAGTGCAGGTAATTGTGGAATATTCTGAGTATAATCTCGTATTAACGACAAATCTTTCATAAACTTCTTCTAATACTAATAAATAGTCAATTCTTTTGTGGTCCGAACAACACTCAATATTTTATCTCGAGTAGTATTTTAATAATTAATTTTTTAAAGATGTTTTTGTAATCAGGTGTCTACATTAACATATGTATATCGAATTAATACAAGTAAATTCTCTACTGTAATTTGATATAACCCCATAAAGGGTTAATTTAATTTGGCAAATAAAAATTAAAAGTTGCCTAAACAGAATAGTGAATAACCTATAACATAATATCTGTTGATACAAAAGCTTACGCATTAAACCAGGTGGCAGATAACCAAAATTGCCAGCATCATTTTCAATTTACGAACGCGGAGTCAGAAAAACAAAACTCCAAGGGTGTCATTTGTCGCGTCAAAGTAAAATTTGAGACCGGTTGGAATAAATTAGAACTGGACCTATCGAGTCTAACGCAAACTGCCTTCAAGCAACAATACGCTATAACTCAGAGGATTCAAATTTGCGGTAATTGTCGTTTGCGCAGAGTATACTTTATAGATAAGCACTACGAAGACCAAGAAATTTGCCCTAAATTATATCACAAGTTCTTGGATTCTTATATGTTGAAGTGGGGCATAAGAAGCGTAGAAAGATCTACTCAAACTAACTCAAAAAGAACAAAGAATCGAGTCAAAGGAAACAACAACATCAAGATCTCAAAGCACTTCAGTGCTGATAATTTAAGTAGCGGAGAAACTAGTAGTGCAAAGAATTCTAATCTACGGAAAATAACTGACGAGGATTTTCTGAGAAATTTACAGATTAAAACAGACATAATAATTAATGAATTTTTTGACAGGCAGTCCACGAAATCTCCACGTGTCTTAGAATTAAAACAGAACACCACATTGAAACCGTATGCTTTTCCAACCTTAACCTCAAAACAGAAATCCTTCAACATTGGTATATCTGAAGATACATTGAAGAAAATCGGCGTTCTTCGGACGTTTACAGAGACCTATATATGCAACGAGGACAAACGTAAAGAGACTAATGTTCTAAAAATTATACGGGATAATTGGAAACACAGATACTTTTTCCCTCAGGAAGTATCATTGCCTAACAACGGTTTGTCCGAACAAAATACAAAGAGAACGATGTTGGAACGTAAACCGAAATCTCTGCTTTTATTGTCGGAATTAAAATCTGCGAAGGAAAGAACTTTAGGGTTGCCGAAAAAAAGCACTGAGGTGATTAAACGTAACGAAAGCGATACGGTTATCAATTAATTGACGATTAATGTAATATTAAATAATTTAATAGAAATAGAATGTTGTTTCTTCCGTTTATGGTTGGTACTCCTGTAGGTAGACTCAGAAATGGCGGTAGAGTACCAAAGCTTCTATTTCATGTACCCTATTATGTTCTCCCGCCTTTCACAGCTTAGATTATTTCTTTTATTGTGTCTTATATGTACGTAAGAAAAATAAAAATCATAAGAATACTTTTACCTGTCGAGTACACTGTGAAACAGCAGCACTGATTAACGATGGCGTGGTACCAGATCCATATTCTAAACTATGCAATTTAACGCCCATATTTACGACTGGATAACTTAATTTCGGCCCGTGTAAAAGAACTAATTTAACACCATTCCTCACTGCCTTCATTATATGTGCCGGTATAGCATTTAAGCTATTACCATAATTCTGTGATTTATCTAATAATAAAGTCTCTTTTTCTTGGTAGTTCGGTATCAATGACATGATTATTGTAATTTTTAGATTAGCGCTTCCTATCTTATATTCAGTCGAAAAGGTATCTAAAATAGGTTCCTTTATAGTTTCTCTATAGGAGATTTGCAAAGGACCTAAATCAGCATCGACCTTATATTCGGTTCTAATTCTTTCTTTGATAATTTCTAAATGCAGTTCACCCATTCCTCCAAGCACGATCTGACCTGTTTCTTCATTTTGAGTTACTCTTAAACTTGGGTCTTCTCTTTCGAGTTCCTGAAGAGCCTTCTCTAAAAATGTTTGCGTGGATAACGATGGCGCCTCAACTGAACAAAAAAAGACTGGCTCTAACGTCTTAACATTGTTGTCAAATACTTTCTCTACATCTTCCAGTGCAACATCTTTCTCTGCCCTTAGTTTCTTCTTTGCTTGTTCTGTCGTTGTTCGATCGGTCGTTACTAAATCTCCAGCTGTTGTACTTTTTAATCCCATTATGGCTGCAATATTGCCACGTGTGATCTTCGGTATTTCTTGGTACTCGTCAGCGTACGCGATATACAATTTTCCTACGAGTTCCTTTTCTTCTTTGCGGACGTTATATAGCTTCATGCCTTTTTCTACGCTGCCGCTATAAATTCGAAAAAATGTAATTGGTCCTTTTTGCTTATCGTGGACGACTTTAAATGCCCTGGCGCAAAGTTTGTCATCAAAACAACGGTAATATGCAGAAGATTTAGTTTTATTGGGTGATGGTAAATACAAGAGAACACCGTCCATTAAAGGTTGAACTCCAATATTTTTATAAGAACTACCTAAGAGCACAGGAACACCTTTTCTACTAATAGTTGATCTGTGCAAGGAATCAATTAACATTTGTGGAGTTACTGCATCCAAAGATTCCTGTTCTATTATTATGTTAGCTAATTCATCATCCATGTTGGATAATTTATCTGTTAAGCTTCTACGTTTCTCATTTGCCATTTCCCATAAAGTTGTATCTTCATTCTCAGATAATTTTACTCTGGAATATTTCATACCCATATCTTTCTTTGAAAAGATCAATTTTTCTAAAGTAATAACATCCACAATTCCTTCTAAATTTCCTTTCTCTTTAATTGGAAATTGCGTCGGTAATACTTCTGTGTCTAACTTGGATTCAATAGATTTTAAACTACTGTCAAAATTAGCATCTGCCCTGTCCATCTTATTTACATAAATAATTCTAGGAATATCATATCTGTCAGCTTGTCTGCAGACTGTTAATGTCTGAGCTTCAACACCTGCACTTCCATCTAATATGACTACTGCTCCATCTAATACTTTTAAGGTTTGCTCCACTTCCATAGTGAAGTCAATGTGTCCTGGAGTGTCGATTAAATTAATACGGTAGTTTTTCCATTGAAATGTCACTGCTGCAGAAGTAATGGTTATACCGCGCTGACGTTCTTGATCCATATAATCTGTTACCGTATTCCCATGGTGAACCTCTCCCATATGTTTAATGAGACCAGAATAGTATAACATCCTTTCTGTGGTAGTGGTTTTGCCTGAAAAACCATCGTCAGTATTATAAATTCATTAAAATAGAGATTTTTATAGGTTATCTATAAAAAGCATATCACACACGAACCAGCATCGATGTGTGCCAAAATTCCGATGTTTCGAATTTTCGTGATTTCCTGTTCTCCATGTTCATTCTTTACGATTGTTGTGCCTTTTGATACATATCTTTTTTGAAACTTGTTACACCATGGGCGTTTTATTAGCCAAGATGTAAACATGATTTCTAACCTACACGTTTTTGTACATTCGAAATTAAGGGCAAAGTAAAATCACGTGGAGAATTATTATGATTTTGGGATTTATTTAGATATTGAAAATAAAACTAAATTATTCAAAATACTATAATATTGTTTAATTATTTATTATACTGTTTGTAAACTATTACTTATATCTAGCTTTAATAGTTCTTTCACAGTAGTAGCTATTAAATTTTTTCCATTTCCTTCTTTGTAAAGGATGAAGTAAACCACCTCCAGGAGCTCTCCTTTGCATTAATCCTAAGCATAAGTGTATCAATTTATTTACTGTAGATTGGAAATTGCATTGCTATGATTAATCTACCAACCTGCATATTGAGCCATTAGGATCAATGAACTAATTCTCTTTTGTTGCACCTCGCAAAGACCTGTAATCCTACGTGGTAATATGCATCCATCTGATCTAACAAATTGATTTAGGATAAGTACATCCTAAAAGAATCAGTTTAATTATCCAGAGACAAGGAAGATCGTAATACGACAAGATATTAAACTCTTACTGTATGTTTAATGTTAAGACCAGAAGAACAAATAGGACATGCCCCGTTTTTAGGTTTTAAAAACCGCCCTTCATATGGGTCTGGTTTAATCACGGCTTCAATAGTTAATGTATTTCCTTCTTTCTTTTCTATGACTAAATTCAAAATTATAGGTTACGAACATCAATTCAAACAATAAATGATGTTATACCTTAATAAATGTAATCATACTCACTTTCCTTAATACGCGTTGTTGGAGATAACGATATATTTCTATTTTGTCCTATCGATAATATATTTTTTCCTAAGTAATTTAAGGCGCGATACAACGTAGCCATTTTAACAGTATTTACAAGACGATCTCCGTTATCGTATAAAAAAAAAGTGTATGTACTTCGTTATAGTATACAAAAATTATTAACTATTAATTTTGTTAATTATTTTGTTATAGAGATACTTATATGATGTAAATTATTATTTATTTATAATTGTATGTGATTTGTTCTATTGGAGATAAGATATGTTAATTATATGATTGAAACAATATTTTATGCTTACTAAAGAAAGATTCTTTTAATGTGAAAAAAATATCAGTTTTAATATTATTTTATAAACGAATAGTTTTCTTGTAAATAAATCGGAGAATGTGTACAGTAACTTATGGATGTTTATTCGTTACCGGTGAATCGAAGAATCTTATTGGTCCATTCTTCTGTGCCATTTGTGAAAAATGTCAGACGACGTGGCTGATGAAAGATGGAACCCGTACCGCATAATGCAGCTTAAAATTTTGTAAGATCACGAAATGTCATATAAAATTATCCGTTTATAAAAGTGTTTTTAAGTAACTAGTTTTTTTTGTATTGTTGATAATTTATTTAATGTTATAAACGTATTATTTTTATCGTAACTATGGGGCTGTGCAAGTGTCCGAAAAGAAGAGTTACAAATCTGTTTTGTTTTGAACACCGTGTCAATGTTTGTGAACATTGTATGGTTACGAATCACCCAAAGGTATTGTATTCTATTTTTCATAAAACAATTTGCAAAGAATGTACTTTGACGAAGAAATCATGAACAAATAATTTTCACTAATTCTCCAGTCAAAGTAATTCTCGTCCCTTTTTCATCTATATTAAGATTACTTAACTGATAAATATTTATATTTTTTTCAGTGTATTGTTCAATCGTATATTTTGTGGCTACATGACCATGATTACAATCCAATATGTACATTATGCTCCGTAAATTTAAGCGAAGGAGATTGTGTTCGGCTAACATGCTATCACATGTATCATTGGGCATGTTTGGACAAATATGCCAGGGAATTACCAGAAACTACAGCACCAGCAGGATACACATGTCCAACTTGTAAGGAACGCATATTTCCTGACTCAAAATTGGTTTCTCCTGTGGCAGATGTGTTGAGAGAAAAGTTAGCAGGAGTAAATTGGGCACGAGCTGGTTTAGGTTTACCTTTGGTATGTATTATATTTAAATGTACATAATAAAATACATAACATACATATACAGAACATCTATATATTGAAATTATTTTTTATAGCTCAGTGAAGACAGAGAGCAAAAACCAGAACAGGAGCATCCTTCATTGAGAATTGAGACCACTTCGTATCAGAACCACACATTAACAACTTCATCACCATCAATCGCTACATCACGTTCTGTTAGCAATGTTAACTCAGTTCACAGTAACATAAATAATGTGCATTTAAATAATCAAAAGGTTGGGCCACCTTATTCAATTGTAAATATCGATTCATCCATGGGATTGTCCCAGTCAACATCAAGAAAAGTTTGCGAAGCATATGACGATCCGAAAGAAATATCATTTGATCATGATGAAAATAAATACAGAAGAAAGCCTGCGATCGAATGGTTCTTAAGGTGGTGGAAGTTGATAGTTAGCCCACCAACACGACGTAGAAATACACCCAGTCCGCAATACAGGAGATATACGGTGCTAGGAATCATGGTAATATTAGCTTTCATTGGAATGTTAATTCTATTCTCGTGGCTTGGACGAATGGCTACAGACGGCGATCCAAGTTACGATCTTCGCGCGGATCCGAACATTTTAGTTGCTGATAAACCCGCTGGTATTTAATATACTCCACATTTCAAAGCGATGTTTGAAGGGAACTGTAGGAGTACCACGTAAATGAAGACATATATAAATGAAGCTTGTAAGATAATGTAATAATTTTGGATTATAGTCGAACGAATATGTATTCACTGTCTTATGATTTCATTCTAAAGAAATAACTAGCATAAGATATAGTATACTGCTAGCCAATATTTGTTAATTTTTATGTAAAGTATGCCTTAACATTAAGCTGTATATTTCACTCTGTAAAGACTTATAAATTTACAAGAAATTTTCTGTAATGATTATATGAAAGAGTTTTTTATACTATCATGTGCAAAATTAAACGAAAGAAAGAAAAGAACGTTGCTAATATCATTTCCACTAATAATAGGAACGAACTGTGTGCAGACAAGATTTTGTAACTGTCATAGGAGTGACACTAATTAGAAACGCGCTACTTTGTTGTTTATGTTGTTGCTTATTTTAAAACGGTATTATAGCTTATTTAAAACGTCGATTTTGTTGTATTGTTTCCAACATTTTTTCGATCGAAAAACCGGGAATGTGTATACGTTAAAAAGCAAATCTTTTAAGTTGTGCTTAGTAACATTAACAATATAGGACTGCTGTAGCAGCTTTTAGAAACTTCATCGTATTCCATTTATTCATACATTGTGTGACATGTTTACAATTCAAATCAGAGTCTGGTAACCGAACCGAGAGAAATATTCGTTCATGAAATATTAACATCTCTTAACAGATCAAACTCTGGCATATCGAATCAATTTTATACGAAAAGAAACTAGTTTATAGAAAAAGGAAAGAAAACCTTTACTTTTTTAATAAATAGAAATATTATATCATGCTTATATGATCGTTAAATTTTACTTTGTTTTTGAGTTACACACATTTTGTGTATTATATGGTGTATTACCGTTGGAATTTTGAGAGGATCCATCGTGAAGCATTGTGAAAGAGTGGGGATATTTAGGTTTCTTTCTTTCTGCACGCGTCCCATAGCAGCCATTTGTGATCAAGACGAGAATAACACCGCTTCGTCTCTTGTGTGTGTTTTTATTCATCCTTCTGATTTTTACCGTTTATACCTAGTGATCTAAGTGATTCTATGGTGATTTCCATATTGTGAATTCATATATTAATTACCACAGACATTAATTAAAGAAACATTAATACGAGTACATTCTTATTAGTAAACAGTTATACTGTTATAATTCGTAAAATCAGAACTTTGATCCTATTTGTATAAATATTTCACATATATCATATCAAAATTTTATCTGTTTCTTTTTACTGTGTGAAGTGTATTATATCCGTAGTCTTTCTCTTTTTCTCTGTCTCTTTACAAGGATTTTATACATACAAACAAAGTGTAGAGAAACATAGAATTAACTTATCCGAACAGTGCCATCTGAGACGTGAAATATCTGTAAATTTGATACCGTATTAATTTTTGAAATGGGATTATTTGGATATATCAAGAGGTACTCTGGGATATTCCTAGCAGATGTAGCGACTTCGATAGGCCTTTATTATTTATGGAACAAGGGACATAAGTACTTGGTTCCAACGGTGTCCTTATGCGGTATCGGTAAGAACATAATATTTATTATAATTAATTAGCGTTTATTGATAGTACACAAATTTTTTATACAGAGCAGATAAATAAAACAAAAGAAACCAAATGAATTTTAAATCATGATAAGATATATGACTATAATAAAATTCGTATCGGATATATCTTTGAATTGTGAATTAAACGCATCCATTTAAGTATATCAGAGAGGAAGTCCTCTCTGACTATACATACATAGACGCACTTTTTATCTTCCTTTCTATTGATCGGTAGGCTAGGTCTATCAAAATGCGCCATCAGTAGGAAGGTCAATGATTCAATATAACTACGATACTTTGTTATCTAATTGTTTCATTAGTTTAGTCTGGTTTAATACATTCAAGTAGCAAATTAAAAATTAAATAAAATTTTAATAAAAAAAATGTAACACTATCTCTATCGAATTATAAATTCACACGCTCCGTGCTGCGTGGGGCGGATACTTTCATTTCAGCCATTTAGAATTTTAGGGTAGAGTAAATCTTGTGTGTGTAGGGTAGAGTAAATCTATGTGTTTGTTAAAAGAATTCCTTAACCGTTTGAGTGCCAGGGGTTTTTGAAAAAACGGAGTCGAAAAATCCCAAACAGTGCCATAGCGCTCGTCTTAATCGATTGCGAAGAGAAACATGCGGCGCAATAGCGCTCGTCATATTTGTTATTTTTATGGAATGTATCTATATTATTATATATGCGTACTATTAGTTTATAAATATTTCAAGTTTTGTTCAATCAAAATTATTGAGAAGATAACAATGAAATACAAAATACCGTCAGTCGTCCGTTATGTTCAAATGTACTGGGACTTTTCGACACAAAATTTGAATAGCGCGGTCGCGCTGCTTGGGATTCAAACGGTTAAAAATTAAATTTATTGCTTTGATGTCTAATACATCTTAGACAACACATCCTTTTCTTTATAATTATGTTAATTGCACTATTGAAAAAATTGTAAGGTAAGTAAATCTATCAGAAGCAAAACTATTAATCGTAATAATGTAGAACGTGTACGCCCCACGCAGGCTGAACGGAAAATAATCAAAAATCGGTCCGGCACGGAACGTGTTATAACATACGTTATTAAGATGTGGAAAAGGATTTTTCGAATAATCTTTCAGGTGCTTCTTACCTATGTTGCCATCTAAAATCTCGAGACAAACTGACTTCGAATGATGTGATTGTCATAACCGGCTGCGGTTCAGGGTTAGGATACAGTCTGGCTCTGTATTGCCGACAACTGGGGGCAACTGTAATAGCGGGTGTATTGCAAATGGATTGTCCCTCGGTTCAAAGACTAGAAGATGAAGGAGTAATCGTTTTTCCTTTAGATCTTATGGAACTGAATAGCACTACAGGTTTCACGGATTCCGTTCGTCGTACTATAGCGGAAAAAAGATTAGGTAAATTACTTAGCACGATCAAGTCTATGATTACAATGAATGTGCATACTAACATGATTCCAACAGATGATACATCTAAATACTGAGATGTACACACTCATAAAAATCTATACAGGGTACTATGAAATACGTGCGAAATATTTGTAGGGTCAATTCTAGACATGAAAATGCTAGAAATATATGTACTTGTACTAATGAATCATCAGACGAGCCATTCTCTCTATCTCACTCACACTTTATATTTCTCGCTCTGATATGAATATATGAGTCTCTCAGTACAACTTATCAATTTCTTATTTTCATTACATACCAAAATATAAGATTGGTATCCAATTTTTAAAGAACAGATTACTCACCGCTATGAGCTTATTTATTATAAGGAGATATAATATAAATACTAGCAAATTGCAAGGTAAGCTGAAATATAGAATTTTTAATATCATTACTTTCCTTTTCTGCTTTTGGCTTTTGAGCGGCTCATATAACAGCTGAAATACTAATCATATCTTGTGTCACTTGTTTCATTTCATGGATCTCAGGTAACCGCAGTCACTAATATAGATAACATGTAACCATAGTCTAACAAAGATATAATCATACAAATTGTTAATAGAGCATTCGAACGAATTTGGGTAAATTTGGGAAGAATGGTGGCTGGTTTAAAAGAAAAAAACAAATGAAACGAGCATACCTATATAATAGAATATCGATTCCAGTGTTACGATGTGTAATCAATAACGCAGCCGTGATGGTCTTCGGTGAATTCGAATGGCAAACGTATGGGCAGCTTAAGAATCAGTTGGAAGTTAATTTTCTTGGTGCTATGATAGTCACGCAAGAATTGATGCCGATTATCCGCGCCCATTATAGTCGGATTATCGTAGTCTCAAGCCACTGTAAGACGCAGCCGATTCCAGGAGCTTCGGTTTATAGTGGAACCAAGGCTGCTATTAGCGCCTGGGCCACTGGCCTTAGGGTGGAGTTGAAGAAGTATGGCATCAAAGTTGTTAGCGTCGTTCCTGGTAACCAAGGCATAGCATTTTCAAATATAAATACAAGATTCTTCCATAAAAAGAGAGCAGTTTTATGCAAAAAATATTTTGCTATGCTTTCTACTTGTGTACAATAAATTATTTGGAAATTTAATGTAATAAGAAAATTATTATGTAAATGTGCTTAAGGGAAAGCATTCTTTCGTTGAACGTTGACAAATTTAACAATTTCCACAAATTTTTTTTCGAACCGATGGTACGTCTAATATTAAAATCTTTTTTGTAGTTTGTTTAGTTACTTGTTCGTCGTATATAAGTATTTTTTATGTAGTTTTAATTAATTGTTTCTTGGTTTCATCTCGTCCGTAATAAATGCGCACCTAACAATTGCATCTCGCTGGCGTAGACGATTAGAGCACTCAGAGCGAAATAAATTAAAAAGCTCAAGTTATATCAGCGTGTTTATCGTTATTGTCCTTAACAAAGTAAATAATTTATGTTGGAAATTAGCAAAATAGCGAACGTTTAATCACAAATTCCAAAATTTAATTCTCTTTTCGGTAATTATTAAATGAAAAAGGTATGATAAACTTCCTATGAAAATATAATTTTGGTAAGAACGAGAGCTAGTGAGTCGTGGAATAACAGGTAAAAATCTCAAAAACTGGCCGACTGGTCTGAAATTTTTACCGGTTATTTCACCACATCTTACCAATTCTCGTCAGTACCAAAATTACACTTTTATGTTGAATTCATCATACCTTTATTTAACGATTACCGAAAAGAGGAATAAAATTTCGGAGTTTGTAATTTAGGCATTTGCCAGTTTCTCAACATTCAACGTATATTATTTGCTTTGATATACACGATAACGATAAGCATATTGTTTAGGATCCATTTTGAGTTTTCCATCTTAGTCCATTCTGAAAGCTCTAATCACTTATGTGTGCGAGATACGATTTTTAAACACACCGTTTACTGCGGGCGAGATAAGATCACAAAACAATTAAACGCTATGACAAATCGTTACGTATAACGAAAAAGTAACTAAATAAGCTACAAGAAATTATTGTAGATGTACTATAAAAGACAAAAAATATATATATATGCCGGGTTTACATTGGAATTAGGGTTAGGGGCGTGAAACGAACCTTCGTTGGATTACACGTTGTCGTTATGCAATAGAAAGCTGAAAGGGGGTGATTCTACGCGAAAAAAATATAGAATAAAAATCTTTTTTAATTTTTTTTTTTTTAATTTTTTCATCGAGACAACGATCTACAGTGAGATCCGTTATAAAGAGACGTGATAAAGTGCGCGCGTATTGAGCGAAAATTCAAAGTCGATTTTCTCGAAAACAAAGCCTCGAACGAAAAATTTTTATTCTATATTTTCGACTTCTTTTTTCGCGTAGAATCACCCCCTTTCCGCTTGTACCACCAGTTACCAACCACCCTGTATATATAGAAAGAATTAGGCGCACCATCACTTTGAAAAAAATTCATGAAAATTGTTATATTTTGTAATATTCATAGGAGAATGCCCCCTTAATGATAAACTTTTAATTTCCAAGAAATTTTGTATTGCACAAGAAATTTGGAAAAAATTCTATTTGACAAATCATATTTAGAAATTGTATATATATGAAATTATTTATATAATCGCTTTACTTACACATGGCATAGGTTCCTTCATTAAAGAGAGCAATATATTTACTCGACAAGCTGATCACTTTGAGGCGATGAAGTGGGTGATGTCCAATGAGGTACAAAAGTTTTATGGTGAATACTTATATA